ACTTAGAAGAAAGTTAAAACATCTACGTGTAGTCTTCCATAACAATAATTCAATATGCATTTAACATCCATTTTTCAGGTGGGATTTTTTCACATGCATACATTTTATAAATCTGACAGTGAAATCACACGAATGGCCAGCATTGTAATTTATCATCACATCAGCATTAGGGTCGGTATTCTAATTGCTAACTAGAAGGTAGCCCTCCTGCATAGTGCAGGAGACTAAAGGATATCAGCATACTAGCCAATCATCTTGTATCAGCATCTATTTCAACTTTGATTTGCTCACAGTAAAGGTATAAAACTCTACGCAGTGGGTGCTCATCCATAACGATTCCAAACAGGCTTTCATTTAAATCAGCAAGTTTTCTTCCTCCCATTGAACACAGCCCACACAAACACAGGTGCATCTGTGCACTGTGTAAGGTGCATCTACCTTATTCTGCAAAGACCGTTTTCAGTATTGCCACACTTTTTAAGTAAGGTGATTCCATGTGTCGCTGTTAAGAGACCATCCATCTATAGCTCACACTACTGTGAGAGTAGGTAGTAGCGCTTCCACTGTTAAAAACAACACCTTTATCAATCTAGTCAGGTCAGAAGATAAAAGAAGCTTTAAATGCTACAATAGCAGTAGTCCTCAATGTAGATAGTAAATTCTATTTGGAGGTAGGACAATTTACTGTTCCACTAGTGGATATCAGTGCTTGAAGGATGGCTGTGTACGTGTCCTTGACAGGGAGGAAGGGGGACAGCTTCTAGTCCTATGATCGAAGACTGCAACTCTTACATCAATAGTGCTGTTTTATTTTATTTTTTCCAATAAATGCATTAATTCCAGTCGCACAGTCACCAGCCAGAAGGGGAAGAGTGCCATCTGCACTCACTAATTGATTACAGAAGGAGACGAAGGCACACAGAACCATGAAGTAGGAATATTCAGAAATAAAAGATGAGATTGACAGAGGTGAGATATGAAAGACACCTATTGATTTGCATCACTTTCATCTACTTCTTCCTAAATATCTGTATTAGATATTTTTTACCAAACCCTGAAAAAGATTAAAAAACTGCATAAGCAATATCCACTGCCTAATTACAGGAACTGTCAAACTGAGTAATCACTTCCTCACATCTTGTTTCTTATGAAGGCCAGGAACTGATGCTTCAGAGTAGGTACAAGAAATCCCTTAAACTACTATGCAACTTTAGACATTAAGGTCTAAAGATAAAAGTTTAATACCACCTCCAAATTTATTTTAGTTCTGTTGCTAGCATTAATACTATAATTGTGTACTATATAAATGTCTTTGTCAAGCCTCACTGTTCAATTATTTTCTTTACTGAAGTCACAACACAATTAATTCCAGTTTATTCACATACTGTGTTAAAAGAGAAAGTCCCCTAATTTTAATTTTATTGAATGGTTCCTTGTTCTTGAAGAAAAAATGGGAATGGTAATTCTCAAGATATCTTACTATCTCAAATTACTGCTTTAACTTGTTTGCTTTTTTTAACGAGAAAGAGTCCTAATTTCTTTGTGTGGGTTGTCTTTAGGTCACTGGCTACTTTTTACCAATCCTGCAACAGAAACATTCTCTAAAATGGGGTAACTGGAACTGTAAATACTATTTTAAATGAAACTGTATTATGGATTAATGTAACAGCATTAAAATATTTTCTGTATTTTCAATCCCAACCATCACACACTGAGTCATCTTGTTTGACCACAAGCATACAGATGTTTCATTGAACTGTCCATAACAACACCTAAATCACTTTTGATATTAAAGTTAGTCTAAATCCTGTAAGCATTTTACAGCTTTCCACTCATGGGTTATTACTTTACACATAATCTCACTTGCCATCCCATTTTTCCATTTATCTGCTTTGTTTGTGTCTGTCTGTGACCTATGTCCTCTAGACATGATCTACCTGAACAAGTCTCCTTTACAAATGTTGCTCTTTGTTGCAATATTAGTGACTCGACGCGATGACTTATTCCACTAATGCTATGAAGAACATATTGCCAACCATATGCCTAAAGAAACATTGTAATGGGCTACAGCCAGGGTGCAACCAAATAGTCTGGAGAAAGAGCATCCTTCAGTTCAAAAGGCAAAATTGTAACTTTCACCCCCTTCTAACAACAACAACAAAGTACCAGGAAACTATGAGGTCTTTACTGAAACTACAGGAGAGACTTCTATTGCGTGTTCCATAAAAAATACAGAACATCTTCCTGATAATGCTGCAAAATCTGTTAAGTATGTCTGGAGTGACCAACTGGTACAGAATGTGTTGCCCGTCTAGTCACTGGAGAGCAGCCTCAATTTACACTTCAATTTGCGTAACAAATACTGGTTTGAAGTATTATTACTTGTAATCCCAAACACATGCATTATCCATTTTCCTATATGGAAACATATAACTTGTTATAAACTTCCAACATGTAACTTTTACCCCTACCCTCTATACAGTGCTTTATTGCTTCTCAAGATTACAAATTCCCAGTATGGGATTTTAGTTAGCTTGTGCAAAGCCCTAGCTGCTCATCAAATTTCGCCAGTAGTTTCTCAAGACAGTATGAAAGAAGAAAATGGTATATGTAAACAACAGTCAAAAGAAAACAGAAAATTTGGAACTATAAGCCAGGTTCTTCTTACAAATGCAATTCAATATAGCATTACACAGACTGATGTACGGTAAGCATAATTTTCTGCACAAAGTAATAAAAGTAACCGATTAAAACCAGTCCTCAAAATGCAATTCAAGGAATACGTAAGAGTTAAGATAAGCATATACGTAGGACACAAAATCAATTTCCTACAGCACTCAGAATAAGAAGTTAGTTAACCCAAATTAGTTGTCATTTTCTGAAAGGGAATTTATAGTATGCCTTATGAATGCATGCAACATTAGCCTAATGCAACATTAGCTTCATTATTTTCAGCAAGAATACTTTCTAACAGAAAATAATACCATCAATATTATGGTAGGGCTAAAGGTATATTGCATGCCTGTATACTGTAAATGGATACACCCTATTTCAAGCAAGGCTGACAAGTCTACTACCATTTAAACAACAAAAACTCACCCAGCACAGGTAAGGCTTTTAAATTTAAAACAGAACATAAAGCAGTTCTCCCATGCAACGACTGAAAGTTAGACCTGACCTTCTTAATGCCATAAAGAGATGCTATATAACCTTTCAATTCCCTTCTTAGTTCTAGGCTTCTGCACCACAAAGAAGCCTGCAGGAATCCCTACTGTTTCAATAAAATGTTGTGTAGGCATAGCATCTCCCTTCAACACTGCAAAATTAGGTCAACAGAAAGTCATTTGTTGATCAGTAAATTTAATTTTTCATTTAATCTATGGATAGTATAGTAATTGCCTGGCTTCTCTCCATTGCACAGGAGTAGAGTGCTTTACCTCCCTCATGTGTTACATGTAGTTGCAAAGAATAACAGCATTTTAATTAAAGGCATTTATAATACTTTTCACATGAGGTAACTCTGATTTTCACAACACTTTTTAGTTAGGCAGGGGAGGAAAAGAGGAAAGACAGACAAAAATCTTTTCTAAAAAACCAGGAACTCCAGATATGATATCTGAGAAGAAAAACTCGTGATATTCATTTGATAAAGACATTTATTCCTAAAAATATGCAAAAGCAGAGAGAAGTGGTGCTTGGAAGCCTCTCTCTCCACTTCAGCAAAGAAGCAAGATGCTTAAAACGCAGGCAGCACAGGTATTCCCACTATAATGTCTAGAAAAAACTCTTTCAATCTCATAAAACACATTAATCATGTTCCTAAAGGAACCTGTCATTGCTTATCCAAAGAAGCTTTTTACCATTTTACATTTGCTCCCAGAGAAGATTGTTTCAGTTCTTTTACTAGCAGTGCCAGCTTACACTGTTTGGGAAACTATGACATTAGTTTGCTAAAAATTATAAACAATGGAACTATCAATACAAATACAGATGAATAAAACTAAGTAATAAAACTTGTAATAAGTTTTAATAATTTCTTCCAGTGACTTTTCCCGAATAGTCAGTAATGCATTTGTATACGTATCTATGGTCAAATTTCACTGGCAACTCTGACACAGCAGATATTTTTTCATTGCAATCCTTACAACTCATGTCCCTTTTCAAAGAAAAGGGCAATGGGCAAACCCCCTCCATATAGCAGCTAAGATTAAAAATCCCAACTACAGCACATTATTTCATTTCTCACCATGTCTCCTATAAGAAAAAAGGCACAGCAGGTGGCTAGTAAAATTTGTAGCAGATCCATAATGAGTCAAATCAAGCAGAGTTGGCAAGCATACAGGAATATAATCAGACATCAGTGCACTAAAGCTTACTTTACTCCCCAGAAACAAAAATCATTATGTTAAAGGCTTTCAATGCTTTGGGAAATATGGAAACAGCTATTTCAAAAGAGTGAGAGTATATGCTAATCCTTTCTAGTTGTTCTAAGAATTTCCTTACCAGTGAAACAATAACAAAACCAAAGGCGCTCTCACACATTACACTAATTATTTTTCACCTGATCATTTTTTACTTACTTGAGCATTTTTTCCCAGATATCACTGTCATAAAAGGCGTGGCTCCAACCCATTTTGACTGTTCCAACAATGACATTCTGCTTAAAAACGTCTGATCCTAATTTGCGATACAGTTCTTCACAATCATCCAGAGGGATATGGAACAACCCCAACATAAACGCTAATATTGCTCCTGAAAAAGAAATATTTTGAAATGTAAAATATAGCCTGGAGTAAGATTATAAAGATGGATTACCATTTAATGTAGTTCATAGGTTAGCAGAATATCTATCTTGAAAAGGGAAGATTAATTGACATTTGTATCACTAAATTCCCAAAAGTGATTAGGAATTTAGGAATTCCTAAAATTTAGATCACTATAAGATCACAAACTATGTTTTAAAGGACATATGCACGATAGGAAGAGTCTACTTTCAAAAACAGAACTATGAGAAGTTGACACATGGCATTATTTCATTTCGCAGATTTCATCCCTGCAAACATGTACATGGCAGAAAGCAAATTAAATCTACTGCTTTATTTGGAAAGGAAAATGAGTAAGAGAAATCTATGCTGTGGTACTAAAAAATATATTTGGAGCATTACTTGCTCTCTGGCAAACTCTGAGTCAGTAAAGAAAAATTCTAGGAAAATTCTGTAAAAAAGAAGGGAGTTTTGACTAGTTTGGAATACATTTGGTTGCAATCATTTATAATTAGTCATTCATACATACTGCCATCTAGTGTGTGCCTAAAAAAATTATGACCTACCCTTGTAGGAACAAAACAACAGTATCCAAAAAGCATGGTTGCAGAATACCATTAAAAAGACTGTGGAAAAACACAATGCATCACTACAATTCTTAGATATATTAAACTGAAAGTGACATATACAACCTTTCTAATCTAATCTAATCACAAACCAATCTAATTGTGCAATACTGTGAGGACATGTAATTAAGCATTATGAATAATTAGGACACATGATTTTTCCAATTTGGAAATGAATGCAATAGGTTTGAATAAAATTAATTTAAAAAGGAGTAAATTCTTGAAATAGAGTAAGAATAAAACACATATGCAGAAAGAGCTACATAAAGAAAGTTACAGATGACTTTAAAGGAAACATGACTTCCAAGCTTCTTTCACTCTCACAAATCACCCCACCACCATGATAGCTGAGTGTCAGTGGATTTGATGGTCTCAATTTTTTAAAAAGTAGCACACATGCTCAAAATAACCTGGGCCTACTGGACACATCAAAGTTTCATCAAGAGAAACTTACTCAACTGCCAAATCACCAAATGCCTGTATTCAACACAGACTAAACATCTAGCAGCAGAGAAAGACCATTTTCCTGAATCAGGCAAATCCTTTGCTACCTTCTTTTCCTCTTAAATCTCCAGCACCAATTCTATAATATCATGCGTTTGCTATTTTGGTGAACAGTTTCAAAGCCAAAGAGCCAAAATTCATACCAAATGCAAACTCATTTTCACTTCACCTCCTGAGAAACAGCACCAAAAAACTGCAGTCAACATGAGCACACAAGTGGCAGCAGATAATATCAGAGTGAAGGTACGTTAAAAGGCTTTGCTGAAACCCGCTGGATGGTAACAAGACACTCACAGGAGAGTAAGGTCAAAATCAAAGATATAGTGCAGGCTCTATCTGATAGTCCAGTGAAAAAAGTTTCTGATGCTTCCATCACATCCTGCTCTGTATCACAGACTCCTACGCTCCAGCCACCATCTCAGCCTTGACAGCCATCACTTCAGGGGGAAAAAAATACTAAAATAAAACCTGGGAGGCTAAGGAGCATAACTTGAAGAACACAGGGATACAGTTGGCTAATAAGACACACGATAGGCAAGAATATAACCTGAAAGACAAAAGTATTCCTTCCTTATTCAGTACTAGTAAGACTTCAGCTGAAGTGCTGTATCTGGATCTGAATGACATTCTTCAAAAAAGATGTGGACCAACTGACAAGAAGAAAAACCACACAAAAAAAATCCCCCAAAAACAATCACAGGTCAAGGAAATCAGTCTGTAAGGAAAGCCTGAGTAAACAGGCTACGACAAAAGCCTTTAAATGCACAGAAGGCTGCTTCGAAGAGAAAAGAAAGAATCTGTTATCCATGTCTCTGGGGAGTCAGGACAAGAGGAAACAAATCTGAACTGCAACAGGAAGATCCACATTAGACATTTGGATTTTTTTTTTTCCCCAAACGTAAAGACAGTGGAGCACTAGCACAGATTTTCTGAAGAGGTCTGACATGATTCAAAATCTTAGAAAATTGTCAATAGTGAAACACACACAGCTGATCCTTCCCTTGGGAAATGAGATCACCTCCTAAGGATGCTTCCAGCTCTATAATAGTATCTTTGATATACGGGGAGACCGCATGAGCAGTGAAAAGAACATACAAGCCACATCCACAGCATACCTGCACATAAGTTAACCTCAGTGGGTTAAGTGCTCTGTGCATCTGTAAAAGCATGTCATACTCTGGAGGACAGTGATAATCACCCTCACTTACAGAATTCCCAGCAGCTCAGTTCATGGGGCAATGGCACTTCCTCTTCTCAACTGCCCTGTTTTCATCTCTGGATTTTTGCACAGAACACGCACAAACTCAGTACACAATTTACATTAACTTGGTTCCCCATAAAAAAAACGTTCGGTGGCTACCACTGTGTTGCATGTGCTCGCAGATTTTCTCTGTGACTGCCTGCATTTACACCCTATGACCACCAGTGAAGAGAAGTACAGGGAAGCTAACTACAAAGACAGCCTCTGTGATGCTGAATTCACAGCAAACTGATTATTTCTAAACCTCAAAGGCAAAACAGCTAAATGATATTAAGAGATATGAAAACCACAGCAGGAAAAAAAAAAAAAAAGAAAGAGGACTGTAATGCACAAGAGGCATCCTTCCTATCATTTAATACATCACTTTTATAAACCACAATTCATCCAGCTGCAAGCTTCTGCAAATCCTATTGGCATATGTACCGTCAACACAAACCGAAATGGTAAAGTACACTGCTAGCACATGCTGACAGATACGTACAACCTCTCCCAGCCATTTCTTGTCACCTATTATTGCAAGCTGGACTACTGCAGACAAAAGCTTGAGAGTGTAAACAAAGCTTAAAAGAACACGTTAAGTACTTAGTAGCAGTTACAAAACCCAAAATTGGATGAAGAATTAAGAATAAAGTTAGTTCTAATCAGAGTAGTGGGATCGAATTGAGAACACCAGGTCTCTCTATACAAGATAAAATATCTTTATTATGATTGAAGGAGACATTAAAGAAGTGTTTTGTAGTGAAACTATCTTCCAAAAAACCCAACCACTTACTGCTCAATTAACTAACAAAGGATTTTTTCCAAAGATCATTAAAAATGTAAAGCAGGAAACTATATTGTGCCTACAAACAAATCCTGTCTAGTAGACCTAAACATTCTCCTCTTCTCTACTATTTTGAGACTATTAAGCAGATCTCTGGAAACATGAACATTATATCTACTCATGGTAATCTTCATTTAATATTATTTCTGAATTAAACTGTATGGAAGATAAGCATAGTGCAAAAAAAATTGAAGAATGTGGGTTTCTAAAGGAAACTGAGCTACTGAACTACAGCATACCTCTTATGTTAGAAATCAGCATTACGCTGCTACTGGTCTAGCATGATTTCTGAAAGAGATGACTGCCTTTTAAAAAGAAACTCATGCTTTAGAGTTTCCTACTTCCTAGGGAGGAGTAACTTACCATCGAGTCACAGAGTACTTAAGGCTGGGAGGGACCTCTAAAGGTCATCTAGTCCAACCTCCTGTTCAAACAGGTTCAGTTAGAACAGGTTACTCAGGACATGTTCAGCCGCGTTTTGAGTCTCTCCAAGGACAGAGATTTCACAGCCTGCGCAGGCAACTCCTTCCAGTGTCTGACCATCCTTGCACGGAAAACATGATTCCTTACACCTAATTGTAACTTCCCATATTCCAACTTGTCTGTTAGCTTTTCTCCTATCACTGTGCACCTTCAAGAAGAGTCTAGCTCCATCTTCTCTGTATTCTCCCATTAGTTGAAACAGCAATAAGGCCTCTCTTCTTAAGGCTGAATAAACCCAGTTCTTGCTGGGTTTTAAACTCTCTCCCTCTATGTCATGACCTCCAGTCGCTGACCATCTACTTGGCCCTCTGCCAGACTCACTCAGTATGTACAAGAACATACCCAACAGATTAAGGGTTTACTGAGGAGCCCAAAACTAGGCATACAGTGGCCAAACAGAGACCCTTAATCTGTTGGGTATGTTCTTGTGCATACAGCCCATATGCGGTCAGCTTTCTCTGCTGAGAGGGTACACTAATGATTCATGTTCAACTTGTTCCAACAAGACCAGGTCTTTTTCTGCAAGTTTCTAGGTTTCTAGGCATTCAGCCCACCTCAGACGGAGGGCTTCGTACATGGCTTTATTGAACCTTAGGTTGTTCCTGTCAAGCCATTTCTCCAGCCTGTACAGGCCAATCTGAACAGAGGGCATCACTGTACTGACCACTTCCTCTAATTTAGCGTCATCCAAAATCTTGCTACCAGCACGCTCTGTCCTGCTGTGCAGATCGTTAATAAAGACAGAAAACACTATTGGCCCAGTATCAGTCCCTGAGAGACGTTACCTTAGTCGTCTGTAAAGCCCCATAAACATCCAAGGTATTTGTATCTGTGTGCAAAATGAAGGTTTCACATTCGTTGAAAAAATCATAAATCAGTTTGAAGTTACAAGTGTATCATGAATCATGGATCTTCTTATTCAGAAGAAAAAAAGAAAGACTTTAAAAATCACACCTGTACTTTCCCAATTTACACTCAAAGTCAGAAACTGGCAAGTTCTGCAAAATCTACATTTACTCTCAGATGTTCTTTCACTATATTCATAGCAAAATTCCAACTTGTGGCTTAACAGTTACCTGTGCTTACACCACAAATGTAGTCAAAAAGTTGATGAACCTGCTTTCCAGTTAGTTCTTCTAGTTTCCGTAGAGTCTGAAGTGCAACTAACCCCCTGAAACACAAAAAAAACCCTTCACATACAATGGTAGTTTTATTTTAATAGCTCTAATTAAGCCCACCTTTGCTTAATTATAACTAATTATAACTGAGTAACTACAACAGTAAGAATCCTGAATATTTCAGGGAATGAAAGAGTAGCAGAACACAATTACAATGGAATGATGAATACTAAATATAAATGACATGCTCAGGCATACCAAAAATAGTACTCAACAGCTACAGCCATACTGATTTGTAGCAAAGGCTCAGGGATGATCATCTTCTGTGGATGTAGACTCGGGATAGATTTTAGCTGCATCCACAACACACAGCACTTAAAGTTTGGTCTTAACAGGGCTATATAATGCGCCTCAGGACACAGTATTTTTCTGTCTGTGGGTTTTTTGCCTCAATACGATGTGTCGGAAATAATGGGAGAGGTGCATTCCAGACCATCAGACCTGTGCTTTTATAGCACGAAACAGAGTATCTGGCACGCAAAGGTGCTAATTCTGCTGGGCTAAAGCTACAGAACTGTGTATGGCAAAAGGAGCACCAAACCAAGTACCATCCTGCCAACACATTCTGCTGAGAATGGCACCTCCCGCATGCTGCCCCCAAATCTGTCCTGGCTTGTGCTGAAGAGCACTAGGCAACCCAGTCCAAAACTATAACCAGCTGAGCACCACCAATTACGTGGCACAACAGCCCATAGTCAGTACTCAGGCTCACTCTCTGGACTTGTTTCACTTGGCACTATAGATGTAGATACCACTTTCTAAAGATAAGGTGTCTTCCAATGTCACTCCCCTAGAAATCTAACGGAAAAATTAACACACTGTATTTACACATATAGCATCCTTCTTTCTACTGTGTAAAATCTTTATGGTTTACAATGAACTTTTGGAAACACAAATGTTGAAGTTGCGACATACGCTTACTCCTTATTGAAGACAACTGATTTTGATGCAAGTAAAGAAATACTATGGGGAAACAAAAAGTTCGTGAAACTGTATTTTTGCAATGACTTCATACTTCACTTTCTACCGATAAAAATTTGCGAATCAGTAAGTATTTGCCAACAAGATTTCTTCAAATATGCCTGAAAACACAGCTTTTAGTAAACATCAGACTTCAAATTTAATGAACGTGCTTCTGCTACTACTCTTTACAAATTGTGGCAGATGCATAAATTCATGCAGAACTAGAGCACATGTAACTAAGGACATGTGGTGCATAAATTAAAAAAGTGTTCGTTGTAGAAGAAATATAAATCAACAGCATGGCTAGAGAAGCTTTCACCACTAGCCTATTCATTCTTTCATATGAGACCAGCCCTGCTAAGGCAGGTCACCCTCCAAACAAGTACAAGAACTTTTTTTGTATTACTAAGTCAACACAATCATAAGAGTACAAATTTACTTCTGGCATTTCACACTAATTTTGTATTTCTGAGATTAGACTTGTGAGCAGACTAACTCAAATAACCATTTAATTTACTTTCAAAAGGAGAAAGAGCCAATCCAAGCACTTAAGTGTGTAGCCAACTTTAAATGGGTAAGTAATTTCAGTGTCATAGGACTACTAATGCATGGAAATTTAAGCACAAATGCATACAAAAATACCACCCATCACTTGGACAGTCAAATGTAACAGAACTGTAAAGCATAAATTGCATCTTTGGGCAAAAACTTATCAAAGAGAATTTGAAATTTTATTTCCAGTTACAGTATGAAAAAGGCTACAAGTATATAAAAAAACCAGAGATTTTACCTTGTTCCTCCTCCATCAATAGTGAGGACTCGAATGCCCCAGCCTTTCACAGGGTCTGTATATCCAAGTATAGCTAAAGTCTCTCTAACAGCAGCCTGAAGACTTTCGTCATTTGCCTGTCTCAGACGCAGTAGGCATGGGATTAATTTTTCCTATTGATAAATACAGAGATATTTCATTCTAAAAGTATGTTTATACCAAAAGAATCCATGCGTAAATTTACTAGTTTGGCATTTAAGTATAAAAGTAATATATTAGTTAAACTCAGAAGAAAGCTTCTTTAAATCTGTATTTACCCATCTCTCTTTCTAACAAGGGAAAGAAAGGACTCCAATATTATGTCATATGCGCCTCATTGCTATAGTGACTACGTATCAGAATTAAACAATCAAGGTGAAATGTAAATCTTTCTAATAGCTAGAAAAGCTGTATTTACCAGCAGTTTAGTTTTGTTGACTTTAATGTCACGTTGGCCAAGCATAAACTCAAGTATGGAGCACACCAAGTATAGCTAAAAGCCCAGATTCTGCTGAATAAGTATCACACTGCTTCAAAACAGGAAATGCCTTCTAAGTACACTAATATTAAAACAAAACAAAAATTAAAATTCTTCTTTACACTGAGTAATTTTTAAATGTACAATTATTATCACAAAGATATACAGTATTATAATCAAAATGGGAGTAGTGAATGTACTCTTTCATAATAAAGTAATTCACATCTATTCACGTGGATGCCTGACCGGTACCCTGCTCAGATGATTCATCTGGCCTGCACTCCATTCCCAAAGATCTCTTCTCCAGCAATTCTACAATCTATGTCACACATCTGTCACATCTTGTGGAAAAAGGCATGACAAATGCTGTGATTTGGCTAGTACTGCTAGAATAGTCTACCACCCACCTCCTGTCCTCTCACTGCAGGAAAGAGAATGAGTAGGACTAGATTACATGAACTTATTTGATGGTTATACTCCACTCTTGTCATCTCTCTTCGAAGGAAGCATGCAAACAAGCATAAAAACTGTTGTGCATATGCAGATCAACTGTACCGTACATTCCCGTCTGGTCAATTGCAACAGAGGACACAGTGTACGACCTTCATCTACCACTAGAATAAGCTATACTATCTATCCACATGACGATGCTGTATGCTTCTAAATTAAACATTGCAACCTTAAGAGTCTTTAGCTAAACTACTGACAGTTTGCATACAAATCTGCTTGAACCAGCTAAAAAATAGCTATAAGAAAAAAAAAAAAAGAGACATTCACATTGTAATCTTTACAAACAGAAAATACAACTAGCCCACAAAAGCACAGAAGAAAGTTTTATGTTATTCTATGTCAATCGTCTGTCAGATATTTATTTTTTGTCTAAGCATAAAGACTATTTGCACCTTAATTGCAACTCCTCTGCTCTCTGGAAATTCTAGAAGATGATAGGTCAGTTCTTCAACCCTGCTGATACAGACTCTTCGATTAGAGGATCTTCGTAGGGCTTGAACTAAAGCTCGAGTCCTGTTATCAATACTCACTCTTGCAATAATCTAAAAAAAGATAAAGTTATACAAATAACATAAAACTACTCTAAGAAATGTGTAAAATTTGGCAAGATTAATTCCAAACTGTTATTTTAAGATTTCTCAGAAGTAACGGACAGCACGTTGTACTTAGACATCTGCTACAGGCTCCAAGTAAGCATTGCTTAAATGTAAACAGGCAACCTTTGGACTCTTTGTTTACTAGAAAAATAAAGGCAGCTCTCAGCAACAATACACCAAACAATCGTGTCAGCATGTACTCACATGTATTTTCAGGGCAACTCTGAAATCATACCATTTGGACCATGGAGGAGCGTAAGCTTACTCTAATTACAACAAAAAAAAAGCAACTAGATCTATCTATCTGTATTTATGTAATCTCTCTCTACATATATATGAGCTAAATATATGTATCTACTATACACACACGTGTGTATATACACTTACATATAAACTTATATATACATATATGTACTTATATAAAGAGTATATACACATTTTTATACAGTGTGTATATATTTTTTTTATATATACATGGTATATATTCTTATGTATAAGTACATATATGTATATGTAAGTTTACATATAACTTACATATACTATGTATATATAAATTTATATAGTTTTTATATAGGTGTATATACATATATACTTATGTAAGTACATATGTACTTATATGTATGTACACATATAAACGTATGCGTACATACACATGTACTTGTATGTAAGTACATACATAGGTATGTACTTATTTATGTAACTATATGTGTATATATACATAAGTTTACAAATCGGTATATACACGTGTATATATACACTTGTATAAAATATACATACGCATAGAAATAATATATGAAGAAAGAACACTAAACGAAGACTTGCCTTTTCTCTCTGAAGAGACAGATGCTTTTCCCTCTCTTCTGCGGTCTTAGCCTCTTTTCCTTTGTCCTCCTCACCTTTCTCAGACCCTTCTTGTTCTGGTTGTTTACTCTTTTCTTGTGAAACAACTTTTGTGTCGGATCGTAACTTGGGAACCAACCCACCAATGTAACTGTCTACAAAAGCTTGTACACTGTTACTGGGATATGAAAGAAAGTTTGCAATACTTTTTTTAGTGGAAACTGGAAGAGCAGTATCTGTCTTTTCAGGACCCACAGTCTCTGCTTCAGGAGCTACAGCAGCTGCTGAATCCACTGTCTTTTCTTCACTCATTACAGTATTTTCTGATGAATCGAGCTTATTCCTCTCTTCGCTTTTAGAGTCCTGTAATAAAGCATTCCTTTTTTTCTCTTGATCCATAACAGAATTATAATTAAAGTACCCGTTTATATGATCAGCTACGAAGTTGTAAGTCTCTCCAAAATTTGTAGAAAAGCAGCTTATATGAAAAAGGTGGGTTTTAGTAGACGCTGAATCTTCTGGACTATCTTGGTAAGTGCCACTTGAACTTACTAACATAGACTCCCAGTTTTCATTTGCACAAGTGGATTTCTTTGCAGCTGGGCCTCTGTTGCAATCCTGAGTTCTGGCATCTGTGACTTGTTTATCATTTTCTAGATTTGCATTGATGTTATTTGCATCTGCATTACTTTTATTTGCTTTTCCCAGAGTACCTGAGTGTGACTTTAATCGAGCTATCCGTGAAACCAGCTCACTGTGAGTGCCAGACACTGCCTTTGAAACAGATTCTATGGTACTCTTAATTCGTGACATGCGATTGTTCACTTTTGCAAGTCCTTTGGAAGAAGAAGTTAAAAGTTTAGAGACTCTGTAGTACAAAAAGTCATGGCTGTAAATGTATTTGTTATACCAAAATGTTCTGCTTCTGGCCCATTTACACCGAGGCTCGCTTGTATGAAAAACTCTGAGGCGAACGGCATGATTTATCCCCCAGCAGACTTTAGGTCTATACAAATACAGGTATTTGTTTCCTTGCTTCCACCAAAGACTTTTTGGGTTAATCACAAAGAACAAATATGCGTCTAAAGATAAATGAACTGTCATTACTTATAAATAATTACACCTTTTCTATGTTGCTTGTCTACTTCATTCCTGAAAATATATTTCAATAAATAAGTCTCGTATCACGGTGTTATCTGAAAAAAGGAAAAAAAAAAACAACAATGGAAACCCAAAACCAGTAACAAGTTAAACTAAAATCACAGAGTTGCTTAAAGCAGATGCAGCTTATTTATTCTTTCAGTACAGACAGATAAATATAAATTCAAATCAAATAATCTCGTGGGGATATCTACTGCTCAGGACATTTGGTAGCGTCATCCCAACATTTTAATTTCAACACGTTATTCCTTAAAGGCCAGTTTAAGTCCATCTTGAGCCATATGCAAGACTTGCCAAAAGCAGTTAGTGACATATAGAAAACCGCTTGCCGGTCTTTCCAACAAAGAGAAATTTGTATCTCTTCAGCAAACTATCTCGTGCAGAGACCAAATTTCAAGCGAAGCTGTCGTTATATTACCACCCCTTTGCAGAATTCCTCCCAGGGGAGAGAGGACACCAATTCTTTGAGCAAAACTTCAGTATAAAGCCGCAAGCTCAACGAAATGTTCCTATCCTAAGAGCTAAGGGCAGTATATATTCCTTACTCTGCAAAAAAAACGTAGACGTTTCTAAGGTGGATCAGAGTTTTACACAGCATACAAGAGCCGCGCTGGAGCCGCAGGCGCAAATTCATTACTTGCCTAAACGGCAAGCTCAGACTTCTCCGGCTCCCTTGGCAAGCGCCAGAGGCGGCCAGGCAGGCTAACACCCGCCAAGGTAACAGCAGAGGCGGTACCGCCGCAGGCAGGAGCGTCGTTACTTACAGCTTCCTC